AATTACAATAAACAAAGATCCAAACTATAAATGGCTTTAGCTGCTGGCGGGTCACAGTGCTAACAGGTCTGTGTAGCACTACAGGCGCTCGTGGTGCGCCGGTCAACACAGTGGAGTCACAGCTGAATATGTAACCATGTATGTGCACTATTGATTGACAGTGTGTTTGTTTACTTGGTTACCTTCTCTTTGACCTGTTGCATCATGAAAATTCCATGATCAATTTGTCATGTATGTGCTCACACACACGTGTCTGTGTAGGCTGCGATTTGGAGGCAAGAACAGTTTTGAATTATGAAAGTTCTGATTAGTAACCTCATGTCTAAATTAGTTCTGAACTTGGTCTTAAGCACGTCTCGTCTTCCAAACTGATAAAAAAAAAAAAAAAAAAAGTGAAATCCCTCGTATGCCTGTTTGGCAGTGATATCTGAAATGTCCCCGTCTCCTCCTCTTGCTTAATCTTTCTCTTTTCTTGTCGGCACTGTGTATGCAGTGGGTTAATGGCCTATACAGTCTTTGTGGTGCAGCTCTTTATGCATGCCATATTTGTTGATGCAGTAGTTCTTTAACATTTGCTTTTGACAAAAAGGAGAAAACCCCCTCAGTGTCTTGAATTTATAGAGTCAGTTGTGAAATATCTACGCTGAAATCAAGGTTTAGTTTACACTCTGACTGCTGAGTGGGCGGCACTCTAATAACCTAATATTGAAATATGTGTGGCCAGTTTGCTCTATACAGCACGGAGCAAAGACTGTTTGGCTGTCTGTGAAATGAACTTATAAAATAGATGTAACACTTCTGTATGACTTGTGTGTCAGTCTGTGTGTAAATAGGAATGGGATCTAGAGCCAGAAGTGGTTTTCATGTTATTGTATACTTCTCTCTGCTTTTCACCCCTCCCAGCACTCTCAGCTGTTGCTTTTCTTGTTTTCCCATTTTTATTTCCTCAGCTCCCTCTTCTTGATTCTTTAAATCTTGATTTGATCTCTGTTCTTTGTCCCCAGTAATGTTTACATTGGTACACTAAGGAAATGAAACAAGTAAGACAAGAGGGAGAGGGGGGAAAGAGGGGAGGATAAAGTGTTTACTATGCAAAAGGCAGAAAAAGAAGAAGCAGATGAGGAGAGTGCAACTTTTATACAGCAACCTGAAGAAATGATGTAACGGGACTGTGTACATGTGTTGCATGCCCCATGTTTACCTGCGCGTGAGAGACAGTGTCATGTCTACATAAAAATGAGTGATCATAGTACCATTTCAGTAACTCTGGCTCCTGTGTCTTACTTTGAATGGTTGTACATAACAGGCAGTGCTGGAGAAAGTATTTAGATCCTTATAAAAAGAATATAATGTAAAAACTGTTTACCAAGTAAAAGAGCTAACACTGCGCTATAAAAATACTTCATTCCAAATATTTGTGCACTGAAAATGTTATTAAAGTAAAAGCATATAACCAGAAAAATGCACTAAAAAGTGGCAAAAGTCTAAAATGCTTTAAAATGGCCAATGTCATTGTTACTATACATATATATATATATA